CCTTGGTTCCCCCCCCCAAGTCCGTGTTTCAAATATGTCCATCCTTCGGGTAGTGCGCATTGCACTCCTTAAGTAGAATTCTTTTCGAAATTTCATTTTCTATTTGTTACTAATATAGAGAAATTAAATAGTTTTTCATGCACCGACCCTTCTATTCAGCAGGCTTGCTAAATTTCCTTATTAATTCTAATATTTGTTAGTGTATTCTTCTGGATTTTCGGTGCACACAATCATGTCCTCTGTATAATAACTTTTTTCCCCTTTTGATTTTTTTCTCATCTCGTTGCACTTCAGTGTAATGCTGAATAAAAGTGATGATAACAGGTATTCTTGACTCATTTCTGATCTTTGAGTAGATGGATCTTTTATTAATTCTCCATTATGATGTTTGCTGTAGGTTTTTTGGTAGATAATCTTTATCAGATTAATGAAGTTTCCTTCTATTCCTGGTTTTGGAATTTTTTTTGAATAAGTGAGACATGTTAAATATTTATTTAACTCAATAATGAGGAAGCCAACAGGATAGTAAAGTTGGTTTAAAGAATCAGAAAGACAGGTGGTGATAGGTAGTGAAAGTCAGAACAAAAACAAGGACGATGAAATAGGTTGCTTCAAAAAGAGAACTGGTTGATGGTACCACAGGACAATAAACCATAAATTGGAGAGTCATCTTCTTTGTATTTCTATAAGACAGTGCTAATAGTTATGAATGAGTGTTGTCTTACTATCTTTTTAATCTCTATATGGTCTATAATGATGCTAATTTTTCCATTTCTGTTATTAGTAATTTTTTTGTTAGTCTTGCTAGGAATTTATCAGTCTTTTTTTTTTTGATTATCAGTTTTACTTGTCTTTTTGAAAAGCCAACTTTTTGCTTCTTTGATCATATTTAGTTTGTTTTGTCGATTGTATATACTGCCTCAGCTTATAATGTGTGTATGTTTTTACAAAGAGTCAAATAAGTTTTCTTAGCAGGATTGTGGTTATTATGTAAGGAACATATCTTGTTCTGGTCCTTGCTGTTTGGCGTGCTGGCTCACGCCTGTAATCCCAGCACACTGGGAGGC